AAGCGCAAGAAGTAGTTAACTTACCTTTGAAACAAAGTAACATGTTTGGAAACAACCACCTCACTTAGGTGGTCCGTGCGAGAACTGTGGAACTGTTCCGGATTTCGGGATCAGTATGAACCCAGCCTAAGATGTGCACGATACAACAGGGCTTCAGAAGATCAAACTACGGAGATTTTCAAAGCAGCATTTTGATAGTATCCGGCACTATGACTCGCTCTATTTCTTCGCTAATTCATTCGTAGTATCAGTAGAGTAGTAAGCATTGTAATTTATTACTTAATATTCCAAAGATCTTGAAGCAGGATTAGCAAGATCTTTAGCACAAACGAAGTGCGATAGGTTTCCAGATTCGCAATGTGTTGCAATTTTTATTTGGTAGATAATATGTATAAGGCGTAAACGTTTGCAAAAGTAAAGCCTACTGCATGATGAAGGCGCAATAGCAGTTTTAGTTGAGCGACTGCAAACGCTGCGCACGCGTATTTTTACCGTTGTGAATCCTGCGCCTCCTGCGGCTAATAATGCCGCGTTCGCGCTTAGAAATATTGCGCCTTCGTCATGCAGCAGCCTATATGTAAGCCATGCCTTTCCGCGTACACCGATTGAGCTGAAACTTTGCAAACATTGTTTTGAACTTAGGTACTAGGCAGTTTTTCAAACTTGTATGCAAAGTTGATGTTATCACTTCGCGAATAAATTGTAATCAACCGCAATTATTTCCACTGGTTCATATAATGTAGCGATTGAAGGCAGTGAGTCACCGGAACTGGGAAATGCGGATCTACACACATTCTATTAGAAGATCCTTCAGGAGCTTCATTTTCCGAATGACCTAGTCTTCTCCCATAAATACGCACATAGTGCAACAAGAACTTCTACAAGTTTGCTGTGGACTCCAGTGCTGTTCGAAGTGCGAACCAGTCTTTATGCTCTGAACTATGGGGTGCATTTTCTGAATGACCAAGTCTCTTTCCTTGAATTCGCATACTGTACAACAAGAAGTTCTACGAGTTTGTTCTGTTTGACTTCTACGCTTAATCGGAGTGCCTCAAAGAGATACAAGATCGAGAAGTTTTCTGGTCTCCGGGACAAAAACGGCAACCGTCGGGACTCCACCGCCATATGACTTTTCCTTGAGAACAATATTTCCAAGAAGGGAAAGTAACGTGGCCATGGAAGCCAAACGGACCTACTCACGTAAAAATCGATGAATTTTCATCAAGCGAGAGCGGAGCTGCTTGATGCTTCAGTACTCGTCCTGCAATACCTCTACTTTAGAACAAAATACGTTTCAGTCGAAGGCTAGGAAAAAAGGTGCCATATGCAGCGAAGAAAAGATCATAATGCACGAAAGCTGGAGGACCTCACGTCAAGTTGACCAGTCCATCGCGGAGTACAACACAAAAACTCGTTTCGGGTTTGCAAGCCTATGGAAAGAGCGTCTCAGCGACTCTGTTGCCGTTCAAAAACGAACGCAGTAGATACGATTGAACCACCGACATTGGAGCTAATAATTTAGCGAACCTAATAGAGGGGCCAAAGGAAAAACTTGATCTTGGAGACACTAAAGGATGGCTCGAAAGAAGAAGAGTTATGAGGCAGCATCCAAGTGCAACTCATCCTGGGTGACTGGTAGCAACCCCGACTACAAACAGACTTGTATAAAGATCCTCGAAAGTATAGGCGAACAACGATACTGAAAGCAGCCGAAAGAAAAAGACATCAAGTGCCAAAAAAACCTCTGTGCAAATCGCGTACCGCCGCACTATTGAAAGAGACGGCAATCCGACTTCTCCCCGACTCAAGATGGAAACCGCCACAAACAGCTTCTGCACCGCCTATGGCTTCGGCACAGGTCAGGCTCCGAGACTATGCAAGCCATTCGACCTGAGCTGAAACTGTGCCGAAACTGTGAGGCTCCCGCCAGAGTGCCGAAGTTACCCTCGATATCATCCCATATGTCTTCCCTCAACATGACGTGGATTACTTGGCTTGATAAGGCGCCGCCTCGCCTCGGGCTCGCGCCACGTTGCGAGCGCATCATTTGGCGCGACGTGGCGCAGGCTTCTCCACGTTCTTCTTGTTGCCACATCACGCCGAAGATGCGCACGCAAACGTGGCGCAAGCCCGAGGCGAGCGGCGCCTCATCAAGCCACGTAGTCCACGTCATGTTGAGGGAAGACATATGGGATGATATCGAGGGTATGCCAGCGCTACGCCAGCATTTCGATCGATACACGTGTATTTCGTTGGGGACGTCAGCTAGCCCCGCCCCAACGAAATACACGTGTATCGATCGAAATGCTGGCGTAGCGCTGGCATAACTTCAGCACTCTGGCGGGAGCCTGATCACGTGAAGGAAACCTATGGGGGAAACGGGTCATAGACCATAAGAAAGGTCTACGAAAGCACATGGTGCCGGAAGAATACGTGCAGTGGATCAAAATGATATACGAAGTTGCCAGAAGCCACGTACAGACAGCAGCAGGACCATGAAGAGTTCCAGATTATCGCCAATCATCAAGGCTCCGTACTGTCGCCTCTCCTCCTCATCATGGCCATGAGTACGATAGTTAAAAACTTTCTACGACAACCTCCGTGAGTCCTGATCTGCGCAGATGACATGATGCTAATGGCAAGAAGCAGGAATGAATTGGTGGGTGAGGTGCAGAAGTGAAAGAGTGAACTTGAGCTGCATTGAAGATCAACACCGCTACCGACAAGCCCCAAACACCTGGGCCTATAGTACTCAAAGGCGCCCCAATCAAGAAGATCACGACATTTAGAGGCAGCGTCCAGGCAGATCCGAGCTCGACGACCACACCCACTTCCCTCGGACGGTCAACCCCTTATGAACGAAATATCCTCAGCCTTGATGTGTTTTCACATGACCAACACAGTCGAACTTACAGCGTTTACCTGTTAATACTTGCGACAAGGATAACATCAGAAGCACTCGTCCGGGTTTTCCCAAAATAGCCTCAAAAGGTGGTTTTCTGAGAAACTCATGCTTTTTGAGTTCCATATTCGGAATCAGCGCCATGGAAAGGCCTGGATAACATAAAAATATAGAAGTCGAGAATCTGCCTGGACGCTGCCTTTAAGCATCTAGGAAGTCACATCGCCGCAGATGGTACGCTTCAGGACGAGATAAACCGCAGAATAAATGCAGTTTGGTCGAAGTGAAGAAGGGTCACAGGAATCCTTGCAATAAGAAAATGCCGCTCGAGCTGAAATCCCAGCTGTATCGCACTGAGTCCTCCGACTGCTCTGTATGGCAGCGAATGTTGGGCGCGCACGCGAGAAGACGAACCAAGGATGGTGAAGGAAACACGCATGCTAAGATGGAGAGCGGGAGTCAGGAAGCTGGACAATGTCACTAACGACGCCGTACGAGCTACAATAAGGTCGCCCATATCGTCAAGAAAATACAAGAACTCCGATGGTACGGGCACTTTAAAAGACGAGCAGAAGATTATGTCACTAGGTTGGTGATGTCAGTGGAAGTACCAAGAAAGAGGCCAACAAGAAGGCAGAAAGTGAGATGGATAAATAAAGTGAAGCAGACTTGAGAAACGAGATAAAGGAAAATCAAGTTGAAGATCGAGAAGTATGGAAGAGAGTAGCTAGAGCAGCAGACCACTTCTAAGGGAGGAATGCAAGGATAATAAAATGGGAAATAGACCACAGTTTCGCAGATGGTCCGAATCGTTCCAGATTTTGAAGTTTCTCATTCGCAAAGAGACAGACATTCACCCTTATAAATACAGGATTTCCTCGGATCGACTTCTTCCCACCTTACCGGCCACAGTCCACATTCTTGTTGCTACATGCAGATCACAATGCGCAGAAAAGGCAAGTATTCGGGCAAAATCCGATTGACGAATAGAGATCTAAGCACGGTAAAGAAGACGACATCGAGGGTTCCAATCTAGGGCGGTACCAGGCATCGTCGCAAAGGTTCTTCTCAGAGGTAAGACTTTCTAATGAAAAAACAAGCTTTTGGAATGTGCGCTGTATGACTGCCCCATCGCCGATCGAAACTTTGCAAATGACGACGTCTGCTCAACAGTGACGGCGCAGATGTTGATCCGACGGATCGATGTCGTACAAGTCATTTCCAAATCGATCGTAGCCGCTTGTTCGTCGCGCGCTATGATCATGGCTGCGTGTCGGAAAGTTCGTCTCACGAAATGCCCAACTAAACATTCTAGATAGTGAATTATCCAGCAGCTTTCACGAAATGGTGACGAGTAAAGCATCCAGACAGCTACAAACAAGCTCCATCTGTAACCTAGGATCTACTGAAGCATGTGATGAGGGCAGATGAGAATTTCTAGAGGAACGACCCTAGACACAAAGCACAGGCCCACCCTGGAAAGTGCACGATTTCCGAATCTTGTGCAACGTCATGCTTTGCGTCAGCTCAGCTGACTGGCGCAAAACGTGCTGCATGCGCGAAATGCGTGACGCGATTGACCTCAATTCAGAGTTTTGTGCCGACTCTGCCGATCTGCTGTTTTGGAGTTTTATGCATGTTTGCTATTGTAACTTTCAAAAGATTCTTTATTATAGTCTTTTATTCATATGTTTGAGTCCTGGGGAAGCTTTTGCCAGTCATTGGTACCCGAGTAGCGCAGCCGTTGACATTTTCGAATGTGCGGTGAGAGGAAATGAATGAAATCGATAATTTTCCAGTTAATGATGCTTTGAAACTACCCGCTTGTCTTTGAAGAGTTATGGGTAAAGTCAGTGCCTGCTAACGAAAATCAAACCAAGCAATAGCTATGAAAAAAAAGGAAATACCATTTCATTTTGTATCAGCAAGCTTTCCAGCATCCTTGAGTAGTAGATTGGATTGTGCTCAATCTGTCAACTTAGCATATGTCACTTAAGCCGGGTTTGATTCTGGTTCCGGTATTCATATCTGAAATCAACGTCGTATGGATGCGAAAGACTGATTTGCCTTCATAGTTCGTACTTATCCTCAGTGGAATGTTTCAGAGAGCTTAAAAACTGCTTGAGCACCCTAGCTGCGATGGCTGAAGATGAAAATGTGCCTGTGGCCTCTGTCGATGACGAGGTAAGTCTGAAGCTAAATCTTATTAAGGTTATGATTATTTAAATTTTGCTTGCGTTTCACCTCATTTCCTGGTAAGTAATGGTCATATATCCTGAATATCGCTTATACAAAGTTTGCTTGAGTTTCGTAAAAGTATGCGGTTTGACAAAAAGCTTTTAAAGTGCATTCTTTACTATTTCGAAGTTCAACTTCACTTGAGATACATGTGCTTGGAAACTGACCACTTTCCGGGTATTCTTGTTTTTTGTGTATCTTTGTAATGCTTGGAAATAAAAGATCCATCGACCTTTCACTGAGATGTTTCTCGATTTTGTGGACTAGTGATATATCGATTTGCTTCAGTAGATTGTATTTCACCAGAGCTCTCGGATTCGTTCTAGACTTATGTGAGCTAGGCTTCTTTTTTATGAAGTGAAGCCGGCTGTCATACCCATCCTGGTTTGAAGTTTCAATATTGCATTTCGTGCGTCACATTTATCCAAACGTCGTTTTTTTGTTGACTGCTGCGCAAAATTGATTATAATGCAGTGAAGGTTCAATTTTCAATTTGTTCTCAGAAGACCGGTTACCAAGCACATGTACAAAGTAGTCATCATCAATCGATAAGTGCTGCCTAGCTTGTATTGGTAGCTCACCGATCGCTTATGCATTGCATTAGAATACACTGCCTTTTACATGAAAAAGTAGTTTCACTTGTAATGTTTTTAATACTAGGCGTGAGCTTTTTTCTTATCTCGAGATAGGATGTACACTTGTTCAGCTTTTGACTTTTTCTCCCAATTTATAAGCAACCATTTTAAGCTGGCTGAACGTCTCGGTGTTCCCCTGTTGGAATCCGAGAATGGCTCCAGCGAGAAGAGTGCAACCCGCGCCCGCCTTGGCAAGCGCTCCCAATCCAGTTCCCCCACCACCAACTCCGTAAGCCGATGTGAAAGTCTTTTTATGTAGCACAAACTAAGTCATTTAGCGTTCCGTCACCTCTGGTGCTGGGACAGGAGCTGGTTCCGCTACGGGTAACTCGCCTTCTACCCTGAAGAGCAAGAGAGTGAAGGTAAAGGCCAATATCTCTCGCTCCCGTGTCATCCCGGAGCTCACCCCTTTCATCCATCTCCTCCCTGATATGACGCGTGTGGATGCGAAGGATCAGATGGAACTCTATCGCGTCATCTATGAGAACAGTGTCAGAGTACGTCTCTTATCTCGATTTTTTTCTATTAATTGCCATTAACTATATGATCTTTGAATTTCGTCGCTTTTCCTTATTTGTACTATTCTGCTCCTATGGTGATACTGTCATCGCAGATTTTTCATATCTTTACAACATTCAAGTGCTGCCAAAAGTGGAGTGTGCATGAAATATTTGCCGATAGGGTTGCGAAAGTTGTCGATAATATTGGAAGCTAGACACCTCATCAATCAAATCTGTTGGTACAAGGATAATTTCGTTCTTTCAGCTTTACACCTGTCTGCAAAACTACCTTACTCTATGTGTGTTTGGATCGCCATCCCTCGACTCTCTCGCGCCTTCTGAGAAGGATGGCCGTGCCGCTAGAGGAGAGGTAAGTTCGTAATGTTTATCAATTCTCCTGTTTTTTTTTTGTATTCTCCTTTCTGTTTTTTTTTCTATTTCATCGGAAATCGTTGCAGTCTGAGAATTCCACTATGCGTGAACGCATGGACCAAGCTTTTGAAGCTTTATGTGATGAGATGCAATCCCCTGAAATCACCGTACTTCCGGAACTGACGGGCTTATCTCCCGAAGAGATCGAGGATACCCTGAATGAAGAGGGGGTTCAAATTACCACCGAATCCCTTGTTCACGCTATTAGTCTGTATGCCGGTGCTGGACTTCGGTAATTTATATATCGTGAATTTTTGAATCTGAAGATCGAACATTTATTTAGCAAACCACCGACTCGCGCTGTTGAGGGTCTTATGGCTGCTGCACAAGATACTCCACCTCAGACGGATTTCGATCACCGTGACTCAAGTGAAGACGAGGATTCCGCAAAGTGCAGCGGGAACTTAGATGGCCTTATTTTGCTCGCGAGCGCGGCTGGGGTGAGAGTTACAAATGTATAAAGTCGTTTATTGGATTAATGTCGAATCGAAAACAAGCTTGATGTGTGGTTCGCCTCTTTTTTTTTTGAATGATCAGGGATTTTTTTTCGAGTTCCGATCTTAGGACTTGCATAGTGTGGGCTCTTTGGTACAAAGAAAATTTTTCTTCAGTTTCTGAAGCCTGTATCTTCTTCTATTAGGTTGTCAAGAAAATAATGTCGCCTTTTTTCGGTTTTTTTCGTGTAAAATTGATATTACTTGAGAACTAGAACATATCCAAAGCCGAAATTCTATGGTTAAATTTACGAAGATTTGTAGTATACAGGGACGTATGTGGGAGGGGCCCAGCACTACTGGGGGCGGAGTTTGCCATTTTCCATTTTTCAATTTTTTCTCGGTTTCTAAGCATGGAAAAAATATAGCAAGTGTACCTATGGATAAGTGCATGTGTTCTTTACAAGCAGAAGCAAGTGAGAGGTCCGCAGGATTTTCTAGGGCGAAAATCCAATTTTTGGCACTACGGGTTGCTCGTATGTTTTGGCTCTGAACTTTTCATAAACAACAAGTTCTGCCAATGTTCGGATATCATCTTGTAGAGTATCCTTTGCTCTATCGATTGGTACCCCTCACAATGTTATTTGGTTTTGTCCTATGGCTTTGCTATGAAAAACGACATTATTTTCTTGACAACCTAATATATTCTAATTGTATGTGCATATGCTTGCAGCTATCGGAGTTGCTAACGATGCTGGTCCGTATCCGTGGTTCCACCAATTTCGCAACCGAACAGGACTGCACTCCCTTAATGGAAGCTTGTGCAGCAGGGAACGTGCGTAGCGTGAAATGCCTTCTGGATCTGGGAGCTGATGTCAATGCTTATTCCATCACTCAGAATACCCCTCTTATCTACGCTGCTGCAGCTGGACAAGAAAAGGTAAGCTCATGATCCTGAATGTTAGGCACTCAAAAATAGCAGAAGAATGAATAGCTGAACTCTCGCTTCCTTCATCTCTGTTTTTTATCAGTTTATGAAAGTGCAATAGTTATCAGTCGTATCTACAAAATTAAGTTTTATTTGCAGTTTGTAATTTCTCACAAACCACATTTGCGTATGATGACTTGACCAGTATGCATCACAAGTGATGAATCGAGTGTCTACTTGTAGTCATTGCAAACCGTAAACGTTTTGTTGTGAAATAATGACTCTCATAAAGAACTTAGCAAGGGGCGACATCAGGCACTCTGCATAGGCAAAATTTTGAGGAAGCCCTTCTCTTAACGTAGCTTTCGCTAGTGTTTGTTCTTCAAGCAAGAAAAAAGTTTTAGCCACGAGCATATGATACGTTTATCGCTAAATGGGAATATCTTGGTGATTGTGGCAGGTCGCTGGCATGGAGTGCGGACGCTGTTTGTCAGTCGTTAACCCAAATTGTATGAATTGTGCTTTCAGGTTGTTCGTATGTTGCTGGATCATAAATGCAATCTGGACTTGAGAAACGAAAACGGACATTGTGCTTTGATGGAAGCAGCAAGTGCAGGTGCATGTTGCCAGATGTTGCAATTTGCTTTGTTTCTTGTTTTGATTATTTGATGCTTCTTTTTCTTTTTATGTCATACACTGATAACGTCTGTTCAGGTCATTTGAACATTGTGAAACTTCTGATCCAGTCCGGAGCCAAGGCTGTTTTTGTGAATATGAATAGCGAGTTCAAGGTTAGCCCAGTTTTTTTTCGGAGAGAAAGTTTTCAAGAATCTCTGATTTCAGGAGTCCCCGTTAACACTGGCAGCATACAAAGGCTACACAGATGTGATTGAGTATCTTCTTACACTCGACGACTATGACCGTTCTACGAGGGATGAGGAGTTACATACAGCTCTGATGGAGGCTGCTATGGATGGACATCTTGAGGTATACATTACAGTTTTAGCATGAGACGATATAAAATGACATTGAGATTTCAAGAAAAAAAAAAACGAGCAGCTAGGTCTTTCGAGTTTCACTAGCTGGAAGCGGAGTATTCGCGCTTGCCTGACAGTGAAGGGCAAAAATATGTCTAAAATGACTCGATAGCGCGTAACAGTCGTTGGCCACCATCACTAATTGGCCGGTTTTAGAAAGCAACATGTTTTTGATCTCGTTTGTCTTCAACTTAATCTTTTGTCATTTTTTGAATCTTTTCTAACAGTAACACAGTGTAGCAAATTATGTAACTACTGAATTATGTATTTTTGCTCTCCTTCTATGTCAGTTTTCATGACGTTCCACATTTCTTGATAAATTCCTTTTCACAGGTTGCTCGTGTTCTCATACAAGCTGGTGCTCCGGTAAATCTTACCAGCGAATCCTACGAGAGCCCCCTGACACTTTCGTGTTGTGGTGGTCACGCTGAATTGGTAATTTTGATAATTATCACTTTTGAGACTAGGAGACTTATATGCGCTTTGCACACATTATCCAAACATGCTTGCACTTGTTCTTTCCTGCTTACTCGTGAATGATTCCAGATGGGATAGATCACAAGTATAAACTTGCTAACACGCGAACAAGTTTGTTTGGACAAGTGTGGGAAGCGTGGTCAAACTTCGTAGTGAATAAATGATATTTCTTTCACTCACATCCATTTTTTCTCTAGGCTAAATTATTAATCGATGCTGGAGCCAATATAGAAGAAACTAATGACGAAAACTACACGCCGTTGATGGAAGCAGCTAGGGAAGGTCATGTGGTAAGGACGCATCTTTAGTATCTTTTGAAGCTCCACGAACTTTTATCTAGTGTTAATGTGACATTTAGCATGTGGTGAAGATACTACTTGAGAATGGCGCGCAAGTGAACGCGACTACAGACGAAACGATGGAAACTGCTCTCACTGTTGCAGCTTGCGGTGGATTTACGTAAGTTTCAGATTGTTGTTTCACGAGAATTAGTCTCTAGTATCATACTTTTTAGAGAAGTGTTGGATGTGCTGGTGAAGCATGGGGGAGATCTAGAGTTAGGAACTAATACACCCCTAATGGAGGCCGCACAAGAGGGACACGCCTCGACGGTTAATTATATACTGGCTGCTGTCAAGCCTGTATGTTGATGTTAGTCCACGTGACAATGTGAAACTCATATCTGTGACTCACAGGAAAATCGTTCTGCCAAATTCCGTCAACAAATGAATCAAGCCTTGTCGCTTGCTGCTGAGAATGGCCATTTCGATGTTCTTGATGTGCTTTATTCGAACGGAGCAGATTTGGTATGTTGTATCAACAGTCAGAAGATCATTTCTAGCTGTTGTAACCTTTCAATCTGAAGCAGTATAGATTACAATCTTCTTCATTTCGTGTGGAAGCCATCAATGATACTTTTTTCAAAAAGATAAATCCAGGAACCTTTTTGGCACATGCATTATAGCTTGCTTAGTCTATTCATGCAAAGATTTACTTCAGAATTATGATTATGATGGAAGGACGGCTTTAATGAAGGCAGCAAAAAACGGGTTCACCGAAATTGTAGAGTTTCTTGTTACAAAGGGAGTCGATGTGAGTTCAACTATATAGTAGGTTTTTGCAACAATGTTTGAATTATTGAAGGTCAACTATCGTTCTTCAAATGGTGATGCCACGGCACTGTCGTTAGCTTGCTCTGCTGGACATAAGGACATTGTCAAACATCTTCTCAAATGTGGAGCTGACCCCAACATTGAGTTGAAAGTAAGTTTTTTGTTATTGTACGTTTCGTACCTTTCGGATTGCTAGTGGAATTGTTAAGGATGGAGTAACGTGTGTAATGGAGGCTGCAAGGAATGGCTTTGTCAACATCGTGGAAATGATGCTCGATCACAGCGGTGTCTTTCCACAGCCTCCACGAGGTGTTGTGGGTGCAACTACTCCACAGGGTGATAAGGGAAGTCCACCAGTCCCCCCTCCACCACCACCGACCCCTACAGCTTCTACTAAGGTATGACATCCTTTGATTACAAAAAGGCTTTATTGTTTGTTCTGTTTTATCTCACTGCATGCATGATATATCCGTTTTTCAATCTTTAGCAAACGGCTCTTCGTCGAGGTAAGAAGGCTGCTGCTGCTGCATCAGCTGCGGTCGCTCCCTCATTAGTGAACCCCGTCAGTAGTATGCCACCATTGCCTAAAACAGCAGCAGGCGCAGTCCCTACACCTCCGGACCCAGCTAGCTATGGACTTTCCGGTTTTCCTCCCGCTCAGGTTTGCTTTTCCGTACATGTGCTCGGATATGTTGCTGACCATTGCCTTTAGCCCGGTCACTATGTGTCTTTGCCTGCTGATTTCTCCAATAGTTCAGCTTTATCTTGGTTTGCCTCTCTGTTTTCTGGTCTAGGTGATGGCACCACTCCCGTAAGTTATCATTGTTGTAATGCCATCTCAACAGCAAACAGCTAAAACATGTCTTCCAGGCCTTTCCTGCTGGAAGCGGGTGTGCGATGCCTATGACCTCTAATCCCACTCCTTCCATGACTCCAGCAGAAATGAAAGCACGGGTGGAAGCTTTTGAAATGCTGACAAAGACATCCCCATTCCTTATGCAGTATCAGTCAAATATGCCACTGGTCAATCCTTTTGATCCGCAGGCCCCATTACCTGCACCCGGCACCAATCCGAACCCTATGTCGCTAGCTGACGTTCCTATCCCTAGTTTCCAGGAAATGTTGAATGGTCCTGATGCTAAGCAGGTACTTTCTGAAGGACGTCTGATCGTCAGTGATCTCACTCTTATGTTCTAGAATGCGCAGCAGTTGAGCGAGTACATGCGGAAACGTTTTGCAGCCCAAACAGCGATGTACGAAAATCTTCCGCAACGATTTGATACCGCAATCAACGCCGGTGAGCGAACATCACAAAGTTTTGATCTTGTCAGCGAGCCTGTAAGTCGTCATTTAGATAACTTATCTATTCCTCGAGCTGCAAGCTTACCTGCGCAGTCTACATCAGCGCCAAGTACTCCAGCCACTGGAGCTGGTTCGGAAAGATCCGCCTCTTCTGTGGGCAGAACAGTTTCTAATCAGGTAGGCTTAGTAACTACTGAAAAAAACCTAGATGTTAGATCGAGGACATTGTTTCACAGCGTATATTTGCATCCAAGACTCAATCTTGATGCATTATATGGTCCTACGTTCAGATTCTGCGACGTGCTCTTCCTGCTGTGGCGCAGTCTGTAGGTATCAATGCTGTCGCCTCCCAGATGCCACTTTCGCAAGTTCCTGCACCAGCTCCTGGGTTGATACCGACGCCTGGCTTACCCCCAGCGATCGTTCCTTCCGCAACATCGCCAACAGGATTCGCTAGCCTTCGTCGTGCTCACAGTGAGGGTGATGACCTGGACATAACGAGGTAAATCTCTTTCGTCAATGCTTCCTGTCGTAATATTATCTTCCCTAGGGCGACTGCCAGTCAGCGTGCAGCCTTTAATGTGGATAAAGCTACTGAGTCGAACAATGACACCCCACTTACCCTCGCTTGTTCGAATGGTCACGCTCAAATGGTTAATGTTTTGGTCTGTCGAGGAGCAAACATTGAGCATCGAGACAAGAAGGTAATTTGGGAATTTGTCGGTGGAATAAATACATAAAGTATGGATTTAGGGTTTTACACCGCTCATCTTGGCCGCTACTGGTGGCCATCGTGATGTTGTAGAGTTACTTCTCAATAATGGTGCTCAAATCGAAGCCCAGTCTGAACGAACGAAGGATACCGCCCTTTCATTAGCCTGCTCTGGAGGACGCAAAGATGTAGTTGAACTACTTTTGAGCCGTGGTGCCAATAAGGTGGGAATGACATAGCCATCAAAGCTTTGGACATCTATCTTCATCATTTTAGGAACACCGCAATGTCAGTGATTACACCCCTTTGTCATTAGCTGCTTCTGGAGGATACGTAGAGATAGTGAATATGCTTTTGAACGCCGGAGCTGAGATCAACTCACGAACTGGAAGCAAGGTGTGACATTTTTTGAGGTTTGGGTAGACTAGTGTTGGGTGAAATGTTGCTTTTAGCTGGGCATATCACCACTGATGTTGGCAGCTATGAATGGACATAAAGAAGCAACACGTGTGCTATTGGAACAAGGTTCTGACATCAACGCGCAGATTGAAACAAACAGGTAACTCCTGAGTTTGTTTTCTTGCATATATCAGTTGATTTTGGCTATCAGTTTATGCAGTTAAGTAGCAAGTAGTATTCGTCTCTATTCATGATTATTTGTTTTTTTTTCAGAAATACAGCGTTAACTTTGGCATGTTTCCAAGGAAGAACGGAAGTTGTGGCACTCCTGTTGCAGTATAATGCGAATGTAGAACATCGCGCAAAGGTGAATATATCGTGCTGGTTACGTATAAATGTCATTCGAGTGTTTTACAGACTGGTTTGACTCCACTTATGGAAGCAGCGAACGGTGGTTATGTCGAAGTGGGTGAACTTCTGCTAGACGCGTGTGCAGATCCAAATACCGCCCCCGTACCATCTAGTCGTGACACTGCCCTAACTATCGCTGCTGACAAAGGTCATGAGCGGTTTGTTGATATGCTCGTGCATCGTGGTGCACACATCGACGCAAGAAATAAAAAGGTACTTGTTTGCAGTTTTGTATGCCATGATGAATGACTTACGACCAAGACCCAAAATTGAACAAAACAAACTTACAGTTCTGTTCTTTTGTTTCGAAGTGAAATGGATATTATTTGAAGGGCTGCACTGCGCTTTGGCTAGCATGTCATGGAGGACATCTGGAGACTGTGCAAACTTTGGTAAGGCATGGTGCGGACGTTGATCTGCAGGACAATCGTAAAATGTCACCGTTGATGGTTGCCTTCCGCAAAGGCCACGTTAAGGTATGCCCACATGCAAGATCGTGCTCCTTTCGAAGTGTTGCGTAATCATTTCGTATATATTTTTTGTTCTGTTGTTCTGTCCAGTTGAGTCCAACTCCTGTCTTTTATTGCTTCTTTGTTGAGTGCCTTTTTTTCAAGGTTGTGGAGCACATGGTTCAGCATGTAAGGCAGTTTCCAGGAGATCAAGAATTGTCTCGATATCTTACGACTATAACTGAACCGGTAAGTAATACTTCAGTAAATAACTGGCCTGTTTACTGATAGCAGTTGAGTTTTCGGTTTTTAGGATCTCATGCAGAATTGCAAAGAATGCATGGAACTCATTGTTAAAGCAAAGAACGCCCAAGCGGAGGAGGCCAATAGGGCTGCGGAAAGTCTTTTAGCGCTGCTGGCTGAAGAGGTTAGCCTTTGTTGTTGGTAAAAGATAATCATACTGCCGCTTGTTTCTCATTCCATCTTTTGCTTTTGATCTACATTTTTTCTTTTTTTGAACTGTCGCATCAAAAACGTTGAGTTGAAGTATAATGTATTGTCCGTCTCCATTATCAAAAGTGCTTTCTTGCTTGGATTACATCTACGTTACGATTGTGTCTTTTTACTTGTGTATGATTTGCATTTCAGGAAGAAGCTGCACGATCAAAGAAACAAGCAAAGCTTCGTAAGAAGGAAAAGAAGAAGGAGAAGAAAGCAAAAAAGCAAGATGGAAATGAGAAAGAACGTAACCCAGTGTCACAGCCCGAGCCTCCGTCTCGTTCGGAAGGATCACCTGCCAATAGCCGAACCAAAGAAGAAAGTGAAGTGGGTGTTGTGTCTCTAACAGATCTTTTGACGAATTTGCAGCTCTATATCAGTTTGCAAGAAAGATCAATCATAAGCTTAAACTCCTTGCTCAAAAAAAGCTCTCAGAATCGATCTCTGAAATGACTTCTCTAAGCTTATATTTAGGACTACTCGGATGATGAGTCAGATTCCCTAGCAGTAAAAAAGGAACGCTCATCAGCACCAGCAGACTCCACGGTATGTCTGTTTCGTTCATGAATCTTTCTCTTGTGGATGCCAGCTAATATTGATTCTTTGTAGAAAATAGAAGCAGGGTCATAACAACGACTTTTTACATCAGAGAACCTTTTGCACAGAATTATCGTTAAAATCACCTCCTTGGTCAGATTGATGGGATATTTATAGTCTGTTTACAAGGAGAGCTTTTTTTTTCTTTTAAAATTGAAGTCGAAACAAAAAGACAGCTGTAGATTATCGTCTTTCTGCATCATGAAGTTTATCTACTTTTCCATCAGTCTCAATATTGATCCATTACGATTTTTAGTACTTTACCTTCGAGACAGGTGTAAGTGCATTTGTTTTGAAACATATAGTGATTCTTCGCAATGATGTCTGATCTGATTGGCTTTGGATATTTGGTGGTGTTTCAAGCCCAAATTCATTTTCTAATCATTGTTCTGCTTTATCCTATCATTCGGCTACTTTTACACCCTTTGCTTTGATTACGACGCGGTTTTGGTTTTGAACTCATATGATTCGGTTATCTATATCGAATATCCGATTGATTATGCTTTTCTGAAACGACAATTTGATGATATCATTTTCAAGGTTCATGATCGCGTGCCAAAGATGCGCGCAGTGGAGGAGCCTCTCGTTGTTGCAGTCACACCAGAGCAGAGGCCCGCTGCACCATTAGGAAGACAGCAGAAACGTTCAACGAATCGGCGCAGTCGCAACGAGAGCGGAAAAAGTAAGTGCTTTTTTTATGAAAACTCCTTCAGCTCCTTCAGCAAATTCGTCTCAATGAATCTTATTTTTCACGAAATTAGTTCTTTGCTGTTGCAGTGCCTCCAAACAATTCATCGATTTTTGAATACTTGAGACATATCACACTCAGAATTGGCTTATCCTGAAAAGTGAAGTATCGACGCTTTGAAACCTTACTTCCTTGAAAAGTTTGCTTTGAGGTTCAATGTAAGCTCATTCCATAACTGGAAATAGCGTGGTTGCCTTCATCTGCGCCAAACTCTATTTATCTATCTATATGTAAAGAATCGTTGTGCCTATTTAAGAAAGGTAAAATTGGGGAAACGCGTGTCTCCCGAATGAGCGCTCCTGCAAATCAAGTACCTCTAGATTACTGGTTCACTAGTATGATGTAAAAAGCCATGGTTTCACAAGTTCCTTTCTTTGGCAGAGGTTGTGACAAACGTTATGAATTCATGTTTCCCTTTGTGTAACGTGACTCGCGAACTATTTCGGTAACAATTGTTGCGAGTTTTGGATCGTTGCCAGCGCTGCACTATTATGTTGCGGTTTTGACAATGATAGTTGCACTAGATTTACATGGTTTCTCAGCTTGAATGCAATGCAGTTTGGCAACGATACAAAACCGGTTTTGTGCAGGTCATATAACGCGAATCATACAAGTACGATGATGTTCACTCTGCATGGTAATAATGTGTTTCGTTTTCCTTCACACAAAAACTGATCTTTGATTATATTTTCGTTGAGAAATGACACCTCGACGGTCATTTGTCATGTCTGTCGTAGCACAATTACATCTTAAGGGTTTTTTTTTGTAAATTTTATTTTGTTATCATTTATTATCCCATGCTGGAGATTTCATTAAAAGATTCTTGCTAACAATGTAATTTGCAGGTTCTAATGGACAGTCTGCAATATCTGTGCTAAACAATGCGATCTCGTCCAAACTGACTGTGTCGCCTGTGTTGCTTCCTTCCAAAACCAATATCACCAATGATGAATGGGTAAAAGCCAGCAAAAAATCCAAAGCGGTAATATTTAGACTTTGTCTTTTTATTCTCAAACTAAATTAGATTGTTTAGGCAACAAAAGCAAAAACTTCTAGCACATTAATTGCTACTGGGAAAGATTTCTATCTGGATGATAACTACAGTGGCTGGAAAGATGTTGAATTGGTAAGTAATAGGACATCGTCGTGCTTTGACCGATCTTTGGTGTGCGATAACGTCACTCGGTTGTTTTTACATTTCAGTCTCGACGCCGCTCTGCGACTCTCAGTGTTTGCAGTAGTGTTATTGCAAGAGTAATAGGTCGAGGCGGTGCGAACATCAATGCGATACGTGAAGCAACTGGTGCATCAATCGAAGTTGAAAAACAATCAGCTGTTCGCCGCGATCAACACGACCGTCAGATTTGTATCCGTGGAACACAAGAAACAGTCCGGTATGTTTTCAGCCACGTGCGTAAAGTTGCGACGCTCATAGGATTAGAAAATTAGAAATACTTGCTGGTTTTTGCTTGATCAGCCGCTGAGATGTAGCCTGAAAGATACATTTACCGTTTATTGCATAGGGCGTTCGTATCAATCACCTTAAAAAACGCTATAAAACAAGATGAGTAATCTTTGTTGACGTGTGTCACAAGGCATAGCCGCCGTTCTACTAGTGTTCCATTTCGTAATTTCCATGCACTTTTGTTATGGCAATTCTTCCGCGCTCGCTGACCGGAGGGGTCCTACTAAGCATGTGTTCATTTGCGCTTTCCTCCATGTAAAACGTGCAGAAATTTCCATCAGTTTGATTAGTCGTAATAAAATTGTTTAATTCGATACCTACCTATGAAGGGTATTAGTAGTTAGAAGGGGGTGGGTGTCATGTGACAGCTGAGCGTAATAAAGCGACGGGTTGTGTGCGTGTGAGAGTAGGCAATTGCGTGGATCGATGAGTAGCCTCATGCGGCAGCTTGTGGACTCGCCTCCTAGTTAGGCAAGCTGAAGCCGGCAAGATACTTCAAAGTCTGCACTGTTATCGCCCATGTATTGACTGGCTAGCGTACGGCGTTTCTAGTTTTGTAAAGTTCCAATTTCTGGCTAGCATATGGTCAATATGATTATCTGAAAAAGAAGTAAATTGTAGTAGAACTTATTAAAATGATGCATCCGCTGTAGTTTCCTTCTTCGATCCTCAAAGCTAGCACTGAAAATCCGTGTGAAATAACCGTTTTTTTTACTTCTGCCTTTGCACTTTGCATAAATTTCGCGCGTAATAACCTTTAACAACGTTTTAATGTACTTGAAATTTTTGCTTTTGTAAATAGAAATCCAATTCCCTTGCTCGTGCTCATTAAATTATTGTATTTAAAGCTTTCCCATTTTGAAAAGAAAACACCATTCAAAAACTATTCACTTGTTTTCTGTACTTGTTGGATTGAGATTTTATTTGTAGGTCCTCTTTTTCATGCTCGGGCTTTTTTGAATTTTTCGAAATGAGGTTTTTCTGTACATCCTGCTATTGGCCATTTTTTGATTTGTCGCTTTGTGGAACTTTTCTATACTTTATCGTTTTTGATTGCATCGAATTTTCTTGATGAAAAGAATTAAGTGAATGAAGCGTCAAATAACGTCTTTTATGGAAATAGCAAACAGTTCATAAAACCATGTCAAGAATCTTGCTCAGGAAAAATCTCGATACATTTCATAGTGCGAGGCAGTTTCGTTGGTTATTCTTTTTAGAATCATGTGAATATGCGTCTTTGAATCCAGCATGAAGTTGCTGGCGTTGAAAACTTCCATGTTATCGTAGATTTGTTGTTCGGACTTTTTTATTTTCCTCTTTTGTTCATTTGAATACTTGTTTTTTAGGAATGCTACTCTTATGATCAATGGTCTTATCACGGATAACGAGATATCTGTAACTGACGTCATACGACAGGTTTGTTGACAGTTTATTTTGATATCAATTTTTATGAGTTTGCATACTTGTCTGTTTATGAGACATTCTATGTATGTCTTGTTGTTTCATTTTTTCTGTGTTTGTTTTTGCGTTCAATGGAGATTACCTCCTGGTATCGGTAGTCAGAGTGGTGCAGTTTAGGTTCTTCGTGGAAACGCATCATCTACTACCTCTTCCGACGGTGGTTCACGCCTGAGTAACCTGCACGATTCCAAAACGACGGTGGTGACAACCACCACATCTTCGACGGCTTCCGCTGTCTCCAAACCCGCCACGATGCCTCCGGTCACAACGAATGTTTGGCAACAACGCATGGCTGCACGTCAACGCGAGCAGCAACAGCAGCAAGCTATGATGGGTAAGCACGATCAGTTTAGAGCTATCTAAAGCTCATGATATTTTTGCTTTTAGCCAAGGAAAAGCACTCGTCAAATACAGCCACCACAAGCGCTGCTTCTATTGTGTCACCTACGGTTACATCCGTGTTGAGCGGTGCATCACTTTATGGCACTGCTCCTGCAGCTCCGAGAATGCCTCAAGGCTCAGCTGCTGCTGCCGCCGCCGCTGCAGCTGTGAACAAGAATGATAACCAGTCATCTACTTCCAATATACCTGTACCTATTGGTCCACCAAACTCCATTCTTGACAAAGAACTTCCAAGGAAAGCACCTGGCTACAGATCGCCTAGCGTTCAAACATCTGGTGGGTATTGACAGTTCCTTTGGTCTCTTTAAAGTCTCATTTATTTCCACAGAATGTACTTTCAATTACATTTCTTACGGATTCGTTTTATATAACCTTTTCAGCTGGCGGTTCGTCCGTCTTTGCCGAGCAGGCTGTTTCATCGATACCGTCATCTGTGTCATCCACGCCGCCACCTTCTATCGCCTCTATAGGAGGTGATATTGCGTCTCGCTGTACGCTCGCATCTCCTCCTGCGCCAATTGCACCACCTCCTGGGTTCACAACACTTGTTTCGGAAGTTGGAAAATGTAATCATGAACATTGCATATTTTGAAACTCGTGAATATTCTTTCAAATCGATTTTTGTAGCTGTTGCTGCCAAATCGACTACAAATGCGCTCTCCTCACATGCTGTAGAACCACCAGCCGTGGAGATTGCTTCCTCTCCCCTATCCACTTCTACACTGCCATTGGGGAAGCTTCCGAGTGCTGATTCCATTACCACTCCAACAGGGACTAGCAATGATCTATCTTCTATGCAATTTCTTGATGAAAATACCAGAGCTAAGCTTGCTGAGGTAAGACTTTGTGCTACGCAGTTTTTTTCCAATGTATGCTTATTTTACAGATTTGGGGAACTGGTAAACAAGATCAGTCTTCGCAAGAGCAAGCATGGGGAAATCAAGTTCTCCTGAACAATTTTCCCAATCTCAGTATTGGCAGCTCGGTATGTTCACTGCTTTACGTTCTTCACTTTCATGATTAATTTGCGTTATTAGCTGTTTTCTTGTGTTACAAAAGGGCTCTCCACTTGTTACCCGTATATTTTGTCAAATATGAACTCATAGACCTTTATTCTATGGCCAAATCTAGATTTTGTCGCTTTGATTTCCTTTGGCATGAGGCTGTACTTTAGCTATGTTTAGCTATGCATATCCTTGGCTATATGCACTCTTTGCTGCAACTCATACTTCCATACTTTTCGGAAGGATTTTATTTTAAGCAAAATCTTCAGTTTCTACGTTTTGATTGTATTGTGTGAAACTGGGTCACATTGAACCGCTGTTCGTCAGTATTCGTTGTCATACACTAGCTACTTCAATATTCTTCAGCTCACAAATATCTGAATATATGTATTTTATGTTTTATCATCACTTTGTTCTTCGTTGTAATCAAAGTTTTCTTACAGTCGAGCGATTGGGCAACTCCATCTTCGGATAGTTTGTTCATAACTTCGCCATCGTCGAAAGTCGGAACACCGGTGCCATCCAATCAACAGTCAACTTCGGCATATCCAAGTTCATCTACTTTTGGCAATACCACGTCAAGTAGTGACTGGACAATGAATGCAAACAAGCTGCCGTTGTACGCTAGGCCGCAGGTAATATGATCTGCATTTTGACTAAATTTTCTAAATGATTGGTCGACTAGTTGCTAAAAAAAATCCTAATTCAGATGCGTACATCTGTTCTGCAGTCGCATAGCACGGGAAATACCATTCCCTCTTCTGTTGCTTCGCGTCAGTACAGCTCTAGTACCAATAATCAACCTGAAAGTAACATGCTGTTCAATCAGGTTTGTCACAATGACTTGAGCCTTTGCGAAATTGATGCATAGAAATTTTTTTTAGCTTGCTGCCCAGCTACTGATCCAGCAGCAAGGGGCGTCTGCTAACCCATCGGTACAGTCCTATTATCCTTCCCCATCTTACACGGATCCTGCGATCATTGGAATGGGTCACTTGTCTACTACCGCATCTGCAGGAAGTTCGACACCTACCATACCACCTGCGAAGTCGGCATATTCGAACCCTTATCAGGTAAAATTCATCAACTTTGGAGTGTCTTTCTTTACTTGTTGCGAGTATGGGGTAGTCCAGCAAAAGTTGGCGCTTTAGTTCATCAAGTTCATAGGCCACTCAAGACTCAAGTTTTATTGACTTAACCGCCAACATCTGCTGAACCCACACTGACTAGAGTCATTATTCTCTTTACATTGGAAACAAATCACATTCGCTCTGTTAGCAATCTTTTTCCTGCATAGCTCTTGTCCATTTTCTTCACGCTGCAGCTAAGATTATTGCTCATGTTTTGCACTCTTAAATATTGTTTATCCAGTATGTTCAGGGCGCCAGCAATGAATATGAGTCGCTGAACTCTCTGCTGAACAGCTCATTTGGCCATCATCAGAATGGTGATTTCAGCATGTCACATGTAAGTGTCACTTTGTTAATTTACCCATTTATACTATCTTCAATTTTTAATAATTTTGGTATTATAACTTTCTTTCAGCAATCTTCTACGTATCCTTCGTCACCATCTGCCGCTCGTTCGCTAACGGCCTCTAGAATTCAGGCTAATACGAGCACATTTGCACCACCGCCAGGTTTTGGAGGGGTAACAGGAAGTGCTACTTCGCAGACCACTGGCATCGGTGGTGCCAATACAACCGTGCCTCCTCCATCGCTTAGGCCCTACTATAATACCCAAATGCCACCTCCAGCTGGCCTTCCACTTCAGCCATCTCAGCATGCCTCATTCGCCACATTCAATAGGTAAGTTGTTGTTCTAGCGTGATTAGGCGTTTCAAAACAGTTCATTTACAGTCAACACAATAACTGGATGTCATCCACTCATGGTAAACAGACTGGCAATTTGCAGCAACAAATGCCTTGGTGGAATTAGGCCACCTTCTGTCTACTTGCTTTTCCTCTAGGATTGAATCTTTGTCTTCTTAGTCTTTACTTAGCTACTCCACTCACTGTCAGCGTTGCCATCACACCAAACTTTCTTTCACCAAGAAGAGCTACTCTGTGTGGGTGTCCATTAACAGAAGACGTCTGACGCATAGTATGGTTTGTTCGGGTTTTTTCTTAATTTGGAGCATTGAGACGTGTCATGACATCGCTCACGTCTTATTTTTGAGCTTTTGAGTCGCGACATGTTTCGACATTGCCTTTGTTGTGATTTGCATGCACGCCGTTAATTTTTGCTATGGTCGTTTGAAGATAATCCTTCCATATCGCCTCTTGGTCAATTTGTTACTTTGCTGTGCAGTTTCTTCATTATTCTCTCATACTAGTGCGTGCGATTTGTTTCGGTCAATTGTCATTTTTCTTGCATGTACTGGCGGTCCTTCCTGGTCGCTTACACACTTGTGATTTCTTTCTGAGTACGTCGGTGTTGCTCCCCAGTCGGTCTTGTTATGGTATATATCTTCTATTCCAATTTGCAAATTTTTATCGATTATCATCATTACATCTCACAGTATTGTATTGATTTGCTACTTTACGATTACGCGTTAAGCCACAATTTTCCTTTAATAAATTTAGATTCTTCTTACACATGTTCAGTTTTCTTCGCTGACCAGTGCGGTGATATACTTGAGTACTTGAAAGATAATTGCGAAAGTCCAATTCTACTGTTCTAGATGAGCTTCCCCCGAGTATTTCGAAGCTTACTGAACTCGTCTATAAAATCTCGATTCAATCCAAGTGCGTTTGATTTTGTTATAGAATAATTTGTATGCGTGAACGAAGGCAGTGTTAGGGCAAAAGTGAGGAAGATGAACTTTTCATGCAGAACGGTAGCAGCCCCCATCCAACTAAGACATTGTCCAAGAGCGATGTCATGATTTGACATATAAAGGGGAAAAATTGCACTGGAAAGGTCTACCCCCGCGCACTAACGATTCTCGAACATGTATTGATTCTGATCGAGACCAGCAAGCACCACTGCAGTCCTCTTCACACTACTGATTCGATGCCATACCCCCTTATTCCGATCAGTCTCGTCTGGGTTTCATCATAGAGAGTGCGAAAATTGTTACTTTTCGTCCGTTTCAAGCCATCGGAGCCCGTGCTCTTGCTCAGCGCGACATTAAGACCCGACAAAGACAGAAATTCCTAAGTCGGATTTTCTCCTCCCAGGGCCTCCAAGGAAGAAATTTGGAAAAAAATTTAGACAACATGATAGAATGATACAAGTTAGGTAGTCATTCTTGAGTTTACCAGAAAAAAAAAAACAGACAGAAAGCAATCAATTTATTGCTGCGATGCAGAGAGGAGATGGCTTCCCTCCCCGCGACATCTGAGAATCACACAGCCGTGCATATTACAGACATAACAGATTTGTAGCAGCTGTTCGCTCGGTCTCTACGAATGAAAAGAAAGCTTCAAGAATCAAAAATGTGAACGAGGCACTAACCATCAGAGGTGCTTTATGTGGCCCGCAATTTGAGCCTGTTCAGCATTTTGGTTCTGGGACCTTTCCTCTCATTCGTAGATATCTCCTGCAAACTGAAAATTCCATGACACTGTCCACGAAACCCATGAAATTTTGATGGCTGTTCTGAGCAACCATACTCATCAATGGACGCTCTTAAAAATCAAAGAAAAAATTAAACAAGATTGAGATTTGGGGATTTGGGAGATTTCAAGATTGAGATATCTATTGTAAGAAAAGATTACGAAAGTATATCAAAGTGTTTCGGGACGTTAGTTCTACTGGTTTTAGTACGAGGCTTGTATATCCAAGTGCAGGAAACCCCGAACCCATTGACGCTGAAGTTCCTTCCTGGTAAAGCTATACTGGACAAGCCGCGAACGTATGAGTTCACTACTGTGGCCTCTGCTAAAGATAGCCCGTTGGCAATGTAGGTAGTTAATCGCTTTTTTTGAATCGTAAGATTTACATTTAGGGAGCTCTTTCGAGTTGATGGAGTGAAGTCCGTATTTTTTGGTGAAGATTTCGTTACAATAACCAAAAAAGACGAGGAAATCGATTGGGGAACCATACGACCAGAAGTTTTCTCAACCATAGCGAATTATATCGAATCAGGAAAGCCGGTCATTAGAGAAGGACATTCAGAACCAGAGCATGAAGACACAGGTGACTTGATGTTGCCATGTATCTCTTTTGCGACCATTTTTATGTCTTATTTATTCTTATTTGTCTGAAAAGGTTGCAAAGGTAAAATTTTTGGGAGGGGAGTTTTGTTTTTTGTAACATTTTCGCTACTGTGATAATTATCTTTCCCAAATTAGCCAAAATTAGACCTTGTGACCGATTTCGTTTCTGTCATTGTTTGTGCAGTAACATTTGTCTTATTGTTAGACTCGCATTAACTTATGGAAAAGCCATCTCAACAAATCGGTAAGATAATTTGAATCCAGCAATACATGAGGACGACGATGACACCGTTGCAATGATCAAAGAATTATTGGACTCTCGAGTTCGACCTATGGTTCAAGAGGATGGAGGCGATATAACCTATTTGGGCTTTGAGGATGGAGTTGTGAAATTGAAACTGAAGGTTTGTACGAGTGTGCTTGCCCACTAGAATGGCTATGCTATGCCCTTAATTTAGGGATCGTGCACAGGCTGCCCCAGCTCATCTGTGACTCTCAAGGCTGGAATACAAAACATGTTACAATTCTATGTTCCCGAGGTATGCTGACGAAAAGTTCGACTTCGGCGACTGATCAAGATTTTCTCTTTTAGGTGAAAAATGTGATTGAAGTGACGGATGAATCAGATGATCTGGTTCAGAAAGAGCTGGAGAAATTTGAGAAATCACGAGGGATCGTTGACTAATCGTAGTAGAACATACTAGTTGTTATCTCTCTTATTTTCCTCGTATAGACATTGTCAGAGATGTTGTATCTATAAATAACTTAGAAGAGCCATGTCATGTTTTATCTCATTGTATCTTTCATATTAGCTTAGGCTCTAGACTTGGGTGTGGCCTCCACTCGTCATAAATAAGTTTTCTTTAGATAATTTGCCGATGGCATTTTGTTTTTGATTTATTTCTGCAATGCAGGTGAATGTTTTCGAGGTGCAAAATAAATATCAAGTGTTAAAAGTGAGGCTGACCTTCATTGTGCGTAAGTGGATTGGAATGTTTGAATCATCGTCATAGGAATTGGGCATTCATAGAAATTAAGGTATCATCTCACCTACTAAGTGCGTGTTTGTTGCAGATAACCGCAGGGACCACCCTTTCTCGACGACATAGTCCTCTACCCATCGCGTAGGTGTCCTACATGGGGAAGCTAACTCTAGGTATAGTTCGTCTCAATGGATGATTGGCTCAATCGCAGTTTCGCAACAGTCGCGGTTTGTGCTGCACGCGCGCCGGAGAGATCGCAGAAAATGAGAAGAGAAACGGACAAATCGTGACAGATCACTGCAGCAAACCGCAGATGATTATATAATGGCAGTGCTAACGGGCACCATGTCAATCTCGGCCTGATCCAGAGTGCATACTGTAGTATCTACGATCTGCGATTTGGGAAATTTCCACACAGGACTGCTTTGGGATAAATTACAAAAAACGAGATTGATATGTCTTATAAGAGTGTCAGGCTGTGATTACCTGGTGGTTCTCTTTGTCTCTCTCATCTGCTCCTCCAACGGTGCAACATAGGCAAATGGAGCCTTGCGTGCGAACAGTCCTAAACTGTATATACACACAGAACGAAAGTAGAAAGATCAACAATAAGGAAGTTTACACACCGCTGAGAATTATGACATGCTCTAAATGAGCTTTTGCGACTCACTGTACATCACGCAAGCTGAGGTAGAATCAACCTTGAGGTACTTTGATGAATACGAAACAGCCTTAAGGGTAGTTTGTACCTTGGTATAAACTACCTCAAGGTACATTTTACCCTAGGTAGCAATGATGAATACGACCACAGGTCTTTCAGAACCATTCCCCGCTATCATCGCATGTAGCTTTTGCGATGGGCACCACATGTCCTGGCTTAGGATGTGCTTGCGCGTTTTCATGCAGATAAGAGCAGCACGGCCTTGAAATAGTCAAGTAGATCCGTTATAGGCGCACGGAACAATGTTGATTCGGGATTATGAGAGAATTTTTTGTAAGCATATATTAAGTTGTCCCAAAAATTATCCCTTAAATTAAATAAAGCTATTTCTGTCTTCTTGGGAGACCTAGGTTTCGATTGAACGAAGCGCTCTACAAAATGCCACCATTAATTCGTCAAAGTTCCAGTCCAGATAGAACTTGAAGCCAAAAGAACTTTTTCAGTTACCCTGAATATCGGATCTCCTGCCAAAAGATTCTTATAGACCTCCAGCTGGGCGTTATACAGTAGACACATAGTAGACCCATACATTTATTTGGTTTTTTTCCTTGACTCAAATTAAGAAATCAAATTACTCTGAAAATACGAAAATGTCACTTTTATGGTATTTCAATGTTAAATTTGACATTTCTCGATTACCAGGGCGCATACAGAAGTAAAATCTCAAGATTATACTCACCAAGTTATAGTATACAACCACATATGTTGGAGGGGCTGAGAGAGTTTTCCATTTTCGCTGTATGGTGACCAAGTTGGAGGTCCATAGGATTCTTTTTCCGCAAAATTCCAATTTTCAGGTGATGAGATTTTTTTTCGAGGCTAAGATTTTTACCTGAATTACGACTTAGGCGGATCTTTGGTTGTCATTCTTTAGAGCTAGCTTTGCTCTATCGAATGCTACCCTAAATCTGCTACGAAAACAAAAATAGCTTGATTTATTTATAAAAGTGGTCTACTTTTGGAACAACCTAATACAACAGGCTACGAAATGATAAATTGCCAGTGGCTCGATTAATCGTAAGAACCTTGTGCTGTGCTTTCTTTTGTTCGTATAAAGTATCTTACTCGAAGGCTTATAAATAGTATTGAACAATGTAAAGTAGTCATGCTTGAACTTGTAAAATAGTAAGGGCTTAAAATATTAACTGAAATGTTATTCTAATAGATATCACGTGCAGATCAAGAGTTATCGGCAGGAGTAGTAGCGGTCCCAGGATTTCGGACCGGGGGGGGGGGCGGCAAAAAATTTTTTCAAATGAAGGTGCGTAGCGTTAGCCACGCGCTCCGAAAATTTTTTTGGGGGTGCTTCTCAAAATTTTTGCCGTTCCATAACCCCTAAATGCTCCATCTATTTTTTTTGGGTGTCTTGTAGTCATGAGACGAACTGCAATGATGATTTTTGATATTTCTAAGTGCTGTTCTGTTAGGGGCGGCTTTCTTGCTTCGGAATTCACCTTTTGCAGCGCGACTCCGGCATGTGTGGGAACCAATAATGTTTGAGTGGATGGTGTGTCTGGAGGATTCTTGCGAAGGGATCATAGTCCGATGACAAAATTGGCAGTGTGCTGAATGACTGAAATATCGATGTGGTAGCCTGCCAACCGTGATGCGTGCGATCCCTTTCTCCCGAGAATAAGTCGCGAAATTTTTGTCAGTGGCCTACGTACGCGAAAGTATGCAAATGACTTGTCTTGAAATTGAATAAATTTTTTGGATTTTTTTGATGGCAAATTAACTTGAAAAATTATGTTGAATTGGGAAAAAATTTAACTAGATACGTATGTGAAGAAGTTGGGCTGCTTTGCTTCAGTGGTCTTGCCAAACTTGAAACATTGCCACGCGGGGCTACAATTTTGTGTTTGAACTCGAAGATTCAAATACGTTTATTTCTAAATCTCCAAATATGTACAGATATGTATAAATAAGAACTTACAAGCCGTATGGTTAGGTGTTGTAGTAATTGAGAATGAGTCGATTTGAGGGTCCAGCTGACTTGCACACTTGAGGGGATGGAGCAAAACTGTTGGATGCATGCTCATATGTGGGCTCTTTTTATACAAGCACAGATATGATAAATCTTAACTCCCAAAATATGTTTCAAGGGAAAAAATACAAATTATATGTTAAGCGTTACGCAAGCAAAATACTTGGCTTGAGAATACTGTACAGTACCAACTGACTCATCAAACAAATAACTTAACATGATCAAACAAATACAAAATTTTTTTACATTTACTATTTTCATGGTATGGTGTTCGCTTGGTCCTCGTCGACATCATCGTAACATAGAAATTCAATGGGGAACATAGCTGCCGCGACGCCTTATTTTTTGAAATCTTGGAGTTGCAGGGAGCGAAAATCTTGAAAGCCATCGGAACGTGAAGGAAAACTACCCGAAAACTTGCCGCAACATAACTATACTTTACATGATACAGCTGCCAGTTACGCATTTCACACCTGAGTAGCATTGTATGCAGAGCTTTCTGCATGGCAACGCGATTGTGAATTCGAACTCAAAGTTCAGTGCCGATATTCATCCGATTGGTGTAAATTGTACTCAGGTTTTTCATCATGCTCTTCACGACTATGCCAGTGGTTTTGCTTCGCACCTCCAAACACTTTTTTGAGTTCAAAGTTTCTTCATGAATCTTGCTGCAAATTTAAAGAATTTGGAGCGCAACGAAAAATTGAAATGTTCAGAAGAATCATCCGAACCCAGAATCATGAGCTTAGTTACTACTCTTGATGCTATTCAGACAAAATATAGAGGATAATTTATACCGGAAACATCTTACAATTGGATCTGAAATTGAATTTGACAGATGAGTAGAAAATTGCACAATTGACTATTATAGGCCTATTGTCATCAATAGATCCACTAGGGTACTTGCAGCCGTTCGTGTGGAATCACGAGAAAAACACTAACATACTCGAAAACAGCGTGAATCCTAAATACCAATAATTCCAAATTTGCAATAAGGTTTATGGAGGAAATACTGAACTCAAAATTTTTTTGGAAGCGTGAAACAAAATCAGTGGTATGATCGGGAAGAGCGTGATGAAAACCCCCTTAAAAACCAGTTTCATCCCCAATCGTCCCCAATCGAATAAATATCGGCACTGAATTCACTTCGAAATCGCGTTTTCAAGCTTTGCTGGATCAGAGCTGAGACTACTGTGTGCACAAAGCAGCGCTGCGTAGAATGCTAATTAGGTGCTAAATGCCTAACTTGCAGCTCATGTAACCTATAGCTAAGTTGCAGCAAGTCTTTTGGGTAGGTAAGTTCTTCCCCATCGGAAGTTTTTACGAGGCGATCCTGCTTTATCCTTGAAAAGGAAGGTCACAGCAGCATTCATAAGTTTTACATTGCTTGGGTAAACATTTCTAAGTTGTTTCGTCCTTGGCTAATTTATCGTCATTTATCACTATCATCTGATGCATATTGGTTCATCTAAGAAAGACCAGTAAAACGTGCTTAGGTGGAAGCTATTGTTCATCACGTTCCAGATCAAGCCACATCATGCCTGGCTTTCGCGAACTTGTTGAAGAAGTGCGCCGTTCTGGTTTTTTCGTTGTTCTGTTGCGCAAGGCCCAGTTGCCGCTTCGTTGTTTTCATGTGGTTGTGCTTCCTCCAAGGTGTCCTTGCTCTCGCATACTCTATACAAACCACCAATCTTCCACATTCTACCTCTTATCACCCTGATTATCGTCATGGTGAGTGTTTCAATTTTTTAAGTAGCTTTATGCTATGTAGTTGCATATCTATGCGAAAACGCGACTGTGACTCGCATTCCTTCACCAACGAAAACTCTTCGATCTTTCATCCGACAGCTAATTCTGCTTTCCTACAAGAGACAAGTTTACCATGCCGTTTGCCATGCCTCTTCAAAAGTTTTTTTCGAGAGGCTTTCTTTATTGAATGTCCGAGGGAAACTGTATATTTTGTTTTTTTGTAAGCCGTGACCAAGATTGTTAGAATATCTTATCGGCTAACTTCGACATATCGAAAGGGGTATACGATCTGCAATCCATTCCACAGTGTCTCTGCAGCAGAGTGAGCAAAATGTCAAAACTCTGGCTGGACCACTAGCCGATATGCAACACTCACCTTCAGGGTTATGCCGACGAGATTTGATGCCAGAGCAAGATAACTACTCACTGAGGACCACTATCTACAGTGTGTCCCAAAAAAATGTTAACACTGTTTGATCGTTTATATCTCCCTCGCTTTCAAGTCTTTCGCCGAGCTTTAGGTACCATTTTGTAGAGCGAGGATAAACTTAGATTTACAGTATGGAGCAAATCATCTAACTCTCTTCGTTACTGTAGAATTACGGTAGAAATTTTGACAAGGATTTTAGGCCATGGCCATTTTCTGCTTCGAGACAGAGCCAAACAAGCCAAAATCTCTTGTACTATGGTAATGAAAGCCGGTGATTCCAAGTATGAAGTTTCCATTTTATTATGACACTTTTTTTCAAAGTCATCCTAGGTAAAGTGTAATAGCTGACTTTCCAGTATGTGTCAAAAATGTGATTACATCGTCAAAAAAGCTGAAAACACTCGTAAAAAGTTGTGTAGTAAAATCAGCGTGCGCGAAAACCCTAGTACACGATTTTTCAGATTTTTCAAAAAATTTTTGTCAGAGGGCATATTTCACGACGGTTCCACATGCTGGAATTTCCCACCGTAATCCTACCGTAACGAAGAGCGAACGGTGATTCGCTCCATACTGTAAATCTAAGTTGAACCTCGCTCTACAGAATGGTGCCTCAAGCTCGCCGAAAGACATGAAATCAAGGGAGTTATTAACGATCAAACAGTGTTAACATTTTTTTGGGACACCTTGTATAGCAGAAAACTAGGTCAAAAAAGCTGACAAAGGAAGGGCGCGAGTTCAGATGTGATCGCTAGGATTTCTTCTTTGCGATTCTTTTTTAGCCTGAATCTAAGCTTCCAAACATTTGCGAGCTGACGTTTAGGATTCGTGGGCCAGATTTTTCACGGAAGCTCCGAAAATTGTCCCCGCATTTTTTTGAACCCGGTGAATGCCCAGAGGAGTGGAAGTGCGTGATTTATCCCTGCCACCGATTGTTGTTGATGCGAGTACGCAGCGGGCACGCCAGTTCACCTATGTATTCCTTGCCGCAGTCGTCGCGGGAGATCATCTGGAAGACCCCGGTCGCCATGCAAGCTCCGCCTCTCTCAAGGCATATGATAGGCAATTTGGCGTGATGCAGGTGCGATAAAGACGTTTGCGAATGAACAAAATCTTCCAATTGCACGGAGGTAATTCTACAATCGTAACCAAATTACCGGAAACTGTATACTGTATGCTATTCTTTAACACTAACTAGAAGAGCTGGCTCATTTGCTACTATTATACAAATGAATTTTTGAATACATTTTCGTTACTATAATAGTATCAGTTGAACCAATCATGTTTGATCTACTAGTATCAGTTGAACCAACCATGTTTGATCATCCACAGGAGAAACATAGTTTATATCAGCTATAAAATTACATATGACATGGAAGCCAAGTTTGGCAGTTTTCTAAAATCTGTCGTAGTTTTTCTTCAGAGAGCGCTTTATTAGGAAACATATTGAGAGCGCTTTATTAGGAAACATATTGAGATTTTGTGGAATTCATGCTTTCAAAAAGTACAATGTCACAACCATCTAGAGCTGCTTCACTTGTACGGTCGACGGTATATTGGTATTGGTCGACGTACCAAGTATAAACATATATACTTTGTCGAATATTTCCTTTATATGTTTGTAATTATGTATTTATATACGTTTACACGTACCTCGGTTCTGAATGTTCTGAATCTTTCTTCGAGAATTTGATGTCAAGACATCTAAAAATTGTACCAAAGGCTCCCCTTTCATATGCAGGTTCATCAGATTATATTATTTTTCACTTCAGTCGATTATTAGCATATAAATGAAAATTCAATGATTTTATCAGAGGCCCTCGATGCCAATATTATTTCGAGCCCACAGATGCGTGCTTATTTGTGTGGACACAAAAATGTGCCCGATGTTGTCTCTTTGTTACACAATTTTCTATGCCTGGTCATTTTCAAAAACACAAATCTGAATGAAATACCGAGTTTCCAAATCACAGCAATTCTCTATAAAAACTGTTCAGAATCACGTTTTGTACGATGCTCGAGAGAAGGAGACGATAATTTGCGGACGATTTGTAGTGTGATCGCTGAGGACATTACTACAAAGCCGGGAGAACGTTGCTGGAACGACTTTGAACCAGAATTGAAGGTTTTCCTTACAAACTTCTGCCACTGATTAGGGCAACAAAGGAGGATTTCTTCGCTATCGGAAATCTGAATTAGAAGAAAGCCGTTTCTAATTTGGATTATTGTTAATATAAAGAGCTACATTTGCGAATTGCGCAGAAACCAATGATATCAACAAGTTACGTGGTCTGTTTCAATTTTTGTTCGCTATAATTAGACATAAATTTAGAAATTTTTGAAATAGGAAAGATTTTTCCTTGTAAAAAATTCGTAATCGGCGTAGCAAATTCATGATCATTTTCCTTCTGAACTATTACTTTACTACATTCGTTCAGCTGTGGAGAATCAATTGCAGAGCATTCGTTATATGTGTCCTACCCTATGTCAATCCGCGGATGAGTACGAAATCATTCACAAGGTCCCGTCAAACAACCATGTCTGCATCAAGTTCGAAAACTATGGACTCGTCAAGTGAGTTTTCGTAAATAATCGTCATCTTTTCTCTCTCTTTACTTGCTCCAGGGCTCTGAGACTTTCATTAGAAAGGTTAATTACTTTCTATTTGAATTATCCAGATAAAATGTCATTATTTTGAAGAGCATCAGATGGCTCAGTTGCAGCAGCACACTGTCGATAAGCTTTCTAATTATAACCTTTTTTGAATCCCAGTCAGTTAGTTACTTAACGGGATAGATAATACATTTATTAGCATTTTTTATGGTGGAGAATACAATAGGATTACGGTAAGACACTGTAGCCAAGTGACAATAACAAATCAGCCTTTCATGTGACAGACTATAACAGATCAGCCTTTCATGTGGCACATTTCATGCAAATTTTGATTTATAAGATTTTTGCAAACTTTGCTCTTCTGAATATCTCAAGTTTGCATACAATACCACTGCCATTTTACTTTGTTCCAAAGGCTCACTATAATAGCAATGCTAGTTTTTCTGTGTAATTGCTACGATTGGACGGTGTCCAAGCAAATGTAGCCAACTGGTTTCTTAAGCGGAAACTGAAAAGAAATCCAGCTAACCCAGTACTAGCGGCAACTCGTATCAGGGCCTGGCACCAGCTGGCACGGGGCAAGCTGGATATCGTTTTTGGGGCAAAAAGCAAAGGGGGTTTCGTTTTTGTAGGTGAAGACATACGCAAAATTGGCGGCGGCGACCTTTTTTTTTTTTTTTTTTTTTTTTTTAGTCGACGTTTCGGTTTTTGGGGGATTTTGGGGATTTTTTTAGGATTTTAGAGGGGATATCGTTGAGGATCAAAGGGGACTTCGTAAAATTTCCCAAAAGTCAAGGGGGACTTCGTAAAAATTGGCAAATTTCAAAGGGGACTTCGTTTTCAAAATTCCCTGGTGCCAGCTCGTGCCGAGCCCTGACTCGTATGATCCATTCATGTTCGAGAAGTTCTATTCCATATTCTCGCTCACACCGTATACGAGGATGCTGATGTTTGCGTAAAGATACGGTATGAGCAAAATAGAGTTGAACCTTCTGGCGGCGAATGAAACATATGAGGTGCAGCTTGGGTAATGGCTTAGTTGAGGTCACCCAAGGCTTAGTTGAGGTCACCCAACTTCAATCCCTAAAGTAAGGTCACGTACACAATCTGATGGGCACTGCATTAGAGAAACTGAAGAAAAGCACCGAGTGCCGCTCAATATTTTTTTAGGCGAAAGAAGGACATCTATCTATGGCGCAGAGGCGAATGCATCAACGAGACCATCGCGTTCAACATCAACTGCGGTTTTCCCCTGAGTCGTCGGAATTTAAAAAAGGCACAAAATGACCCATCAAACTTTCTCACAAAGCTATTAGCTCGTCAATAGTCGGCTACTTCCACCTTTCGATTTACTTTAACGATCTCCTTGCATGCTTGAATTGAGGTTAGTGCGGCGTGTGATGTGATTTATCGCCCGTAATGGGCATATTCCTTGCAAATAAATCTCACTGAGCAGACTTAAGGACTTGCACCTTTTGAACCATGACGAATAATACAACTTGTTTGTGTGTGCCATCATGTTCTATCGTAATAAATCTTTATATGACTCACAGTTTCTATATTCACCAAACTGCAATACATGAGTTCAACACATACGAGAAAAAGACTACTTACAATTTCAAGAAATTCACAAATCAATAAATAATGCTCTAAATGTCTGTTAAATTCAAATCTACTACAACATAAAATTATGCATGGAGATCTTGTTGAAGAAAATAGTGCTCAAATTGGGGGAAGCGGCAAAATTTTTTTTCAAAGGATTGTGCGTGGCGTTAACCACTCCAACAAATTTTTTGGGGCGCATCTCAGAATTTTTTCGAGCCCGTAACACTTAAAATCTAGGAAAGGGGGGGGGGGGCGTGGTGATAGCGACAAATTTTTTTACAAGGCTAATTTGAATTCTAAAAAATTCTAAAAAACATTTCAATTAATTGTAAGTAAATTTCAAAGATTTCGCGGTAACTTGAATTCGCCAGTAGCTATCTGAATTTTTGCTAAATATGATAAATTCAAGTCATTTTCGAAAAAAGTTCGGGAGAATGGCTGCCACTATGCGCCTTCTCTTCTGATGCAAACGCAATTTTTTAGAGCGTCTTAGAAATTTTCTTTTCCTTTCGCTAAAAAAATTGTTTTTGTCATCCCCGCTAACCGTTTTGTAGATCCCAGCTGCTAATAAGTAATGGTAATTGTAACAAATGATGGTGGTATGAAACATCACAGCTTTGATCTAGAAGAAATTTCCATCTGAGTGAAAACCAGCAAATGATTTGCATTTCTATGGAATAAATTAACGTTTATACGCATAGCATATATAATAGATATGCGTATGGATATAGCATAGCCTGGAAAAGGGATGCGTTCTGCCAATGTATCGAGCTCATTTATTCTAGCAGGCTAGAAAATGCTCAAAAATTTTGTTTGGTATTTGTCTGATCCTTCTATTTTTCGTAACATTCGTGGGAAAGCTGATCCGACACCATATTCATGACGGTGTGTCCATAGAAATTAGCAGAAGGGTCATGCTGAGCCATCATATACTCCTTCAATGCGACAGCTTCAATTCTATGCTGCTAGAATTTGCAAAAGAGGACATCCTTCATCTTATTCAGGGTTATTAATCATATGAAATCCCTATGGGGTCCGAGAAAAATAAGGGAAGACTGACAAAGTCATGACTTGCCTACTGTATAAATACACTATGAGTACTATATACATGGTATAGGGGCTTGCAGGATCGCGAGAGTCGGACGTGCGTACGGCCATTGCGCCGCGCACGTCAGAACTGCGTGCGACGACCCAGGTAAGTGCCAGACTTATCCTGTTGAACAGGTTCATTCGGTTCACCACCTTTGCCGTTGGACAGTGTAGTGGTTTGACCTATGAACTGAACGAACGGCTGAAGTGGATAAGTCTGGCACTTGCCTTGGTGACATCGGACGTGCGCGGCGCAATGGCCGTACGCACGTCCGACTCTCGCGATCCTGCAGGCCTCTATAGCAGGTCACTCGTCACGAAGAATAGGTTGCTCCGTGCACCGTTTCACCACCGATACTCGATGTGGGCCTACGCGAAGATTGTACTTGGCTCCAAGCTGAAAAATACATTATTCGAAAGTGTTTGAACTTTGATAGGAGAATGGAAGAGAGGGGTGGGAATAAAGGTTAGATGAGGAAAATCGAGGAAATGTTGCTAAAGTGGGTTATTTATAGCATGCAAATTTGTAAAACTTTTTGAACCTTCGGATATTGTGTACTTAATTAAGCTGCTAGAATAAATGATAGCAATAACAGGTAATGATAATGGCGGCAATACTGATGATAACAGAAGTATAGTTCATTTCTAAAACCGTGAAGACGGATTTTACTGCGTACTTCGCGCCCACAGAAGCATAAAACGCTCATACAAGTTGGCATCATCGTTTAGCTCAGTCACTTCCAGTGTTTGAAATTATCAATTTGACAAAAAAAACTGGAAATGAAAACCAAGAAAATGCGATTTCCGGAAGAGGCGTGCGTATCGCGTGCGGTCACGCTATCGTCACGATTTTTCAAATGCCCTATACTATTGAGAATTTAGGTTTATCAGGGTGTCTCATAATTTTTTACCGTTTTTACTCTTTTAGTATCTTTCCTACAAATGTAACCTGAGTAACAGGGCATGAGTCCGTTCCTAGGTTTTTTGAAAACGAAGTCCCCTTGACTTTCTCAAAATTTGCGAAGTCCCCTTTGATCCCACACCATATCTGCAAAAAACCCTTAGAAAGCGAAACGTCAACTAAAACATAAACGTCGCAATTTTTTGCGTTTTTTCGGCTAAAAAAACGATATCCCCTTTGCTTTTTCGCCCCGAAAACGAAGTCCAGCTCGTTTTTATACGATCTGTGCCGGACCTGGTGAGTGATCATCTCACAGGGCAAAGCAAACTCTACAAAATGGCTATCAATATGCATAAATCGTATTCCACGTGAAATTTTAAAGGCAATGTCTCGGCAACATTTCGTTTTCCGGAATTTCACATTTTCGGAGCCTTCTCGCCATAAGTAATCCATATCTGGACTTTACAGCGCATGAAAATGGCGAAAATGAACTTTTTCCAGAGCATTCCAAGTCCGCCAGTGGAGAATACATGCAGGTGGGTGGGGCCCGAAACGACTGAGGTAAGGCGCGGATAACTTTCGGCGAGTTCACTTTATGCGGACCTGGAACGCTTCGGTTAAAAGGTCAATTTCGCCATCTTCATGCGCTGAAAAGCCCAGATATGGATTCTTCATGGCGAGAAGGCTCTAACGTGGAAAAATGGAAAACGAAATTCTGGCGAGACACTGCCTCTAAGCTGAAATCCGATAGTAGTCGAAAATACAATTTACTGTAAAGAATCGTGTCTCCGCCCTAAAAAGCTGAAAAACTCCCCACTTATCCTAGCCTATGCTTAACACATGGCACGTGCAATTGTACACTTTCTGAATTTTATCCGAGGTTAGAAATAAAGAAAAAATGGATACGGTAAAACGGCAAGCTCCGCCCCTAAATGCCTGAGCTCCTCCCACGCACGTGATCATATATCTCATACATACAGAAGTACGATCATGTATTTGTAGCCTTCGTAGGTGCCCTAGTTTTCAAGAAATGCTGATTCAGGGCAAAGTAAAAAAAATTATGAGACATCCTGATAACCTGATGCTAATGTTGATTTTTATAGGAATCATTCAGTTTTTGCATTTCTGGATATCGCAGTCATCTTGCGAGAAAATGCTTGGGCATAAAGGAATGATAATTTGGAGAAAAGCCCGCAGACCAATGAGTGACCGTGTGAACCACTAGAATTATGACATTACAAAGTGCGGCTCCAAAAATGGCAAAAGGTTCCCTGTCAGGCCTCATTGAAACGAAAATTCAGGACCTAATTGTGACTTTTAAGTTTTTGCCGATCGAAGATTTCTGAGAACTTTGCAAAGTCCGTTCAAATCTTTGATTCTGTTCTGAGTGAGCTTTAGGATATGCATATAACAAACTGCACCATTTATTAGTTATAACAAAATTTTATAATTTGAGTTATCCACAATTTTTGGGGCAATACTTACGTACATATACTAATATAATAATATAATAATATATTCACAAAATTTTTAGACATTTTATACACTTTTTATAGCAACAAGCATAATTTTAGATTCTAAATACTTCGAAAGAAAATGGCTGATGCAGTTCTTTTCTATAGATAGAAAACGTTATCTGATTTTTGCCATTGATGCTTATGCAATCGAAACAACGGTAATATAATCTTTGAGAAATTTCTAATTGACTTATGCTTTTTTCTTCCTCATGCAACAAAATTAGTGCCTGGCAGAAACAGCCAAAGTCTTTTATCTTTAGTTGAAGACCACAGTCAATACTGGAAAGGGGAAACAGAATTTGGGAGAAAAGGAAAATCGGAAAATCGATGAGCGTCATCCATAAATCTTGCATGGATGACTTCCTCCAGTAAAGAGGTAGAGAAATGCTGCGTGGAAGGAAAAAACAAAAAAAGAAAATATAGCCTGCCTTACCTTTTCAAATGACGTAATCTCGTCGCGTTTTCGAATAAATAAAAAGTTCATCAATAGCGATAATACGAAGAGAATTGCCATAAATACAGCGCCAAGAATCAATGGACCACAGTAGTCGAGTAAGGTAAACGTTTGCTTGGGCATTTTCTGAAGGATATAGGGCAAAATGTGAAGAGAATTGGGCGGGAACTGAAAGGATATGCTTATGCTGAGAGAAAACACCGTTTGGCAGAAGGAAAACCTTTTGCATAAATAATTCAAAACGAGCATCCCAGTGAAAATGAGCTCTGCAAAGCTGAGAAGCGAAATGTGACTCTGGCAAGATGAAAAATTGCTTGGAAAATGAGTTAAGAGGGGAGGGGGTAGTGAAAGGGGAAAATGTGGAAGTGAACAGCTTTTCTGAGAAATCATGGGAAAGGTGAGGGGTCTTCTGTTAACAGATTGAAATAAAGTCTTAAAAATAGATCGAAATGCAAAAATTGATGATTAAGTACTTTCGAATAAAAATCAATGTTGATCAATAAACAATATAGATGACTGCTATTTTTGTTTTATTTGTTTTTGCCAAAAAAGTTAAAATTTAGTTTAGGAAAAACAATAGAGAAATTGCCTGTTTGATTTGCGAATTAGGGAAGAGAGGAGGGAAATTGGAAGGGAAGATTTATTGAGGAAATTCGGTAAGGATCAGAGTTTATAGAAAAAATGAAAAAGTAAGATAAATCAAAGTAGAATAAAAGACAAGAAATTTGAAAAAATTCAAATCAAGTTAGATAAAGGATTGA